GATAGATCCCACCATGGAGCTGATTGCCAGTCTCATCATGGGGAATAACTACCACCAGCTGCCCAGCCACTCAACCAGGCCCAGTCAAGTTGACACACAAACATAACTACCACATGCTGCAATGAACATGGGTGTGCATATGTCTGTTCATCTCATGGCTCTCACTTCTTTAGGATATATACCTAGTAATGGAATGGCTGGGCCAAATGGTATTTCTAATTCCAACTTTTGAAGCAATCACCATATTGGTTTCCACAGTGGTTGTATCATTTTACAGTCCCACCAAAAGTGTTTGAGAGTCCCAATTTCTCTGCATCCTCACCAGCATTTGTTATTTTCTGTCTTGTTGAACTTAGCTACTAGTGCTGGAGAAAGATGGTATCTCATTGTTGTTTTGATTTGCATCTTTCTAATGGCTAATGATCATGAGTATTTCTTCATACGTTTGTTGGCCGCCTGAATATCCTCCTTGGTGAAGTGTCTATTTATGTCTTCTGCCCATTTTTAAATTGGATTATTTGTCTTTTTGTTATTGAGGTGTTGGAGTTTTCTATAAATTCTGGAGATAAGTCCCTTGTCAGATATGTCATTACTAAATATTTTTTCCCAGTCTGTAACTTCTCTTTTGACTCTTTCTGAGAAATCTTTGGAAGCATATAAAAATTTAAATTTTAGAAGGTCCTATTCATCTAGTTTCTCTTCTGCTGTTTGTGCATTTTTAGTTATGCTTGATAGTCAACTTATGCCATATAGTAGAGCCTCTAAATTTGCCCCTAGTTTTTCCTTGAGGAACCTTAGAGTTTTAGGTTTCACATTTAAGTCTTTGATCCATCTGGAGTTAGTTTTTGTGTATGGTGCACACTGAAATCTTTAATCTTCATCAATAAGTGCCTCAAGTCATCCTCACTTTCAGCAAGCAAAGTTGTGTCATCTGCATAGTGCAGGTTGTTATCTCCTGATCCTCCAATCCTGATGCCATGCTCTTCTTCATATAGTCCAGCTTCTCAGATTATTTGTTCAGCATACAGATTGAATAAGTATGGTGAAAGGAAATAACCCTGATGGACTCCCTTTCTGATTTTAAACCATGCAGTATGCCCTTGATCTGTTCAAACACCAGCCTTCTGGTTTATTACAGCATCTGACATCAGCAATGATAATCCCTCATTCCATGTCATCTTCTGAATCCAGCTTGCATTTCTGGAAGTTCTCTGTCAATATACTGCTGCAACCATTTTTTAATTATCTTCAGTAAGATTTTACTTGCATGTGATATTAATGAGATTGTCCAATAATTTCCACATTCTGTGGGATCACCTTTCTTTGGAATGGGTGCAAATATGGATCTCTTCCAGGTAGTTGGCCAGATAGCTGTCTTCCAAATTTCTTGGCATAGATGAGTAAGTACTTCTACCATGGCGTCCATTTGTTGAAACATCTCTGTGGGTATTCCCTCAATTCCTGGAGTCTTGTTCTTCACCAGTTCCTTCAGTGAAGCTTCAACTTCTTCCTTCAATACCATTGGTTCTTGATCATATGCCACTTCCTGAAATGGATGAACATCAACCAGTTCTTTTTGGTACAGCGACTCTGTGTATTCCTTCCATCTTCTTTTAATGTTTCTCACATTATTTAATATTTTGGCAGTAAAATCTTTCAATATTGCAACTCAAGCCTTGAATTTTTTTATTATAATGAAATATGCAAAGATCTGGAGTTAGGAAACCAAAAAGGAAGAACTCACTTGGCCTTTCTCCAGCCCAATGGAATACAATGTCTAATTTCCTGACTGCTGCTTCCTTGGGTGTTGACTGTGGATCAAAGTAAAATGAAATAAATCCTTGACAACTTCAATCTTTTCTCTGTTTATCATGATGCTGCATATTGGTCCAGTTGTGAGGATTTTTGTTTTCTTTATGTTGAGGTGTAGTCCATACTGAAGACTGTAGTCTTTGATTTTCATCAGTAAGTGCTTCAAAACATCTTTACTTTCAGCAAGCAAGGTTATGTCATCTGCATATCATAGGTTGTTAATGAGTCTTCCTCTAATCCTAATGCTATGTTCTTCTTCATATGATCCAGTGTCTTGGATTATTTGCTCAACATACAGATTGAATAAGTATGGTGAAAGAATACAATCCTGGCATATACCCTTTCTGACTTTAAACCACGCAGTATCCCCTTCTTCTGTTCAAACAAGCTTCTTAGTTTATGTACAGGTTCCTCATGAGAACAATTAAGTGTTCTGAAATTCTCATTCTTCACAATGTAATCGGTAATTTGTTATGAGTGACACAATTGAATAACTTTGCATAGTCAATAAAACACAGGTAGACATCTTTCTGGTATTCTTTGCTTTCAGCCAAGATCCATCTGACATAGCAATGATATCCCTCATTCCATGTTCTCTTCTGAATCCAGTTTGCATTTCTGGAATTTCCCCATAAATGTTCTACTGCAACTGTTTTTTAATTATCTTCAACAAAATTTTACCTGCATGTGATAGTAATCATATTGTTTGATAATTTCCACATTGTATTGGATCATCTTTCTTTGGAATAGACACAAATATCAATCTTTTTCAGGCAGTTTACCATGTAGCTGTCTTCCAAATTTCTTGGCATAAACAAGTACCCACCTCCAATGCAGCATCCATTTGTTGAAACATCTCAATGGGTATTCTGTCAATTCCTGAAACCTTGTTTTTCACCAGTTCCTTCAGTGCAGCATGGACTTCTTCCTTAAATACCACTGGTTTTTGATCATATGCTACCTCCTAAAATAGTTGGACATTGACCAAGTCCTTCTGATACAGTGACTCTGTATATTCCTTCCATCTTCTTTTGAGGTTTCCTGCGTCATTCAATATTTTGCCCATAGAACCCTTCAGTATTGCAACTCAAGGCTTGAATTTTTTTCTTCCATTCTTTCAGCTTGAGAAATTCTGAGTGTTTTGTTCCCTTTTGATTGTCTAACTCTAGGTCTTTGCACATTTCATTATAATACTTTATCTTCTCGAGCTGCCATTTGAAATCATCTCTTCAGTTCTTTTATTTCAGCATTTCACTTTAGCTACTCTGCATTCAACAATAAATTTCAGAGTCTCTTCTGACCTCCATTTTTGTCTTTCCTTCCCTTCCTGTCTTTTTAATAACCTCTTGTTTTCTTCATGTATGATGTTCTTGATGTCATCCACAATTCATCTGGTCTTTGGTTATTGGTGTTCAGTGCATCAAATCTGTTCTTCAGATGGTTTCTAAATTCAGGTGGGATATAATCAAGGTCATATGTTTGCTCTCCTGGACTGAGTTTAGTTTTCTTTAACTTCAGCTTGAACTTGCATATGAGGAATTGATGGTCTGTTCTGCAGTCAGCTCCTGTCTTTGTTTTGACTGATGATATTGAGCCTCTTTCCACAGATGTAGTTGATTTGATTTCCGTGTATTCCATCTGGCAAGGTTCATGTGTATAGCCACTGTTTATGTTCTTGTAAAAAGGTATTTGCAATGAATAAGTTGTTGTTCTCACAAAAGTCTGTCAGGTGATCTCTGGTGTCATTTCTATCAACAAGGCCATGTTTTCTAACTACTAATGATTCTTCTTTGTTTATTTACAACTTTTGTATTCCAGTCACGAGTAATTATCAATACATCTTGATTGCATGTTTGATCGATTTCAGACTGCAGAAACTGGAAAAGGTCTTCCATTTCTTCATCTTTGGCTTTAGTGGTTGGTGCATAAATTAGAATAATAATTGTATTAACTGGTCTTCTTTGTATGCATATGGCTATTATCCTGTCACTGACAGCATTGTACTTCAGGACAGATCTTGAGATGTTCTTTTTGACAATGAATGTAACTTCATTCCTCTTCAATTTGTTGTTCCCAGCATATGGTTGCCTGATTCAAAATTACAAAATCAGTCCATTTCAACTCACTAATGCCTAGGATATCAATCTTTATGCCTTCCATTTCATTTTTCACAACTTCCAATTTTTCTAGATTCATACTTTGTACATTCCATGCTCCAATTACTAATGAATGTTTGCAGCTGTTTCTCCCCATTTTGAGTTGTGTCCCATTAGCAAATGAAGGTCCACATCATTAAAGTTGACTCTCCCTTGGTAAGGCAGCTCTTCCTCAATTGTAATTTGAGTGCCTTCCAACCTGAGGGGCTCATCTTCCAGCACTGTATCAGATACTGTTTCATGTTTATTCATAAAGTTTTCCAGTAATATATCAGATAGTGTTCCACTGCTATTCATAAGGTTTTCAGTGGCCATTTTTTTTGGAAGTGGATAGCTCTGTCCTTCTTCCCAGCCTGTCTTTGGCTGAAAGATCCATTGAAACCTGTCCATCATGAGTGACCCTGTGAAATACCTGTGGCATATCCTCCAGCCTCCCAGCAACATGTAAGCCAGCACAACAAACTGATAGATGAGTGGTGGACTACCTTCCTGGAAATCTCCAATTCATAGGGCCCTAAACCTTAACATGGTAGCCTGCAAATTCCTTTGCTAGTGGGGCCATGGACCCATGAACCCTGTCCCTCTCCAATACCTTTAGTTACCTGTGTTACAGGTAGGCACAGCTTAAATATAAATATCACACTTGTTATTTCTTGAATTAAAAGACCACCACCAAAACTTTATAATGGTAGAAATGGACATTCTCTTAGAGCATATCATCATTGTTTTCCCAACGCTTAGAATAAGTACTCAATAAATGTTGATTAAACTGCCCTGAAATCAGGTATAATCCAAAGCCCAATTTCCCTTTGCAATTACATTTTGGAATACAATTCAAAATCATATAATCATAACATTAAGCATTCCCTGCCTTAAACAGTCATGAAGACAAGCCAGAGCTGTGACAACTTTGGACGTTTTCTTTTTGCCCAGCATTGCCAAGAAATGAAATCTGAAAGAAACAGTGGGGAATTTGGAAGCCACTTTATCAACCATAGCCCTGCAAAGGCTTTGTTTATTTACAACTTTTGTATTCCAGTCACCAGTAATTATCAACACATCTTGATTGCATGTTTGATTGATTTCAGACTGCAGAAACTGGAAAAAGTCTTCTTTTTCTTCATCTTTGGCTTTATGGTTGGTGCATAAATTAGAAGAATAATTAGATTAACTGGTCTTCTTTGTATGCATATGGCTATTATCCTATCACTGACAGCATTGTACTTCAGGACAGATCTTGAGATGTTATTTTTGACGATTTCTGAGATTTAGACAGACGAAGTGAAGAATTTCCAGATTACATTCACCTAAAAGAGCAAAGGTATCCCAAACCTAATGAATTACAAACAGCAGAAATCCCAACACTGACCTGTGAGAATGTGGAGGCTTCTGCATGGGTTCCCCTCTCATGGGTCTTTGTTTCTGACAGATAGCAAGTGTTAACCACTATTTTGAAAGAGAAGTCAAGCATCTGGAATATGTGGAGCACCGCAAAAAAATTCGTGAACAAGAAAAGGAACAAATGGAGCTGGAAATAGAGAAGGAAAAAATTGTAAGTTAAATTTCAAATCTGAAAGTTGCTTTCCTCTAATGCCAATGGTTATGCGTTTGATTGGGTTAAATGGACAAGTAATACCTTTTCATATTCTTCCTTGGTCTCTTGAGAGTTAAGAGGGCATTTCTCTGCTTTCCTAGCTCACTATGAGTATGAAGACCAATGGGACACCTAACAAGATTTCATCCAATACTGTTTCTGGAATTTTCTCTATGACTTCCTTTAGTATAGGTACAATATTGTAATGCTTTATTACACAGAATTTTAACATCCAGTGAGTAATGCATTAAAATAGATAGCACAAAAAGAGTGGAATATGGAATCAAGACATGTGAGCTCAAATTCCAACTCAGCCACTCACTATGAGATCTGGAGCAAAACCCTTATCCTTGGTGAGCTTCTGCTCTCTCAGTTTAATATGGGATTAAGAGTAACTACCTTTAAATGTGCCTAAGGCACTTGACTGCTAAGCAGAAGGCTGGCAGTTCAAACCCACAAGCCACTCCTCAGAAGGAGGGTTGGACAATCTACTTCCATAGTGATACTGCCCCAGAAACCCAAGGAGGAGTCACTAGGACTAGGATACAACTCGACGGCAGTGGGTAACCTTTAAATGTTACCCTAAGGTTATCTGTTAAGTAATCTGACAAATAGTTAGACTTTCATTAAATAGTAGCTAGTGTAAATATAAGTATATATATGAATTTTACTATGATATAGTGTAGTGAATCTTTGAAATGTGAGCTAGAGGTCAATTTATACAAGACACACCTATCTAAACTCAGGTGGAGCGATACTTAAGCGTTCAGCTCTTAACCCAAATGCTGGCGGTTTGAACCCAGCAGCTACTCTGTGGGAGGAAAGACCTCGCAATCTGCTGCCATAAAGATTTCCACCTAGGAAACTCTATGGGAAGTTCTGCACTGTCCTATCAGGGCTCTGTGAATCGGAATTGACTTGATGGCACACAATGGTGGTAACTCTACTGGAAAGGAACCTAAAGCTCTATCCTCTCCTCCCCCTCTTCTCAGTCTCTTTCTGTTTGATAGGAATTGTCACTTTGTTGTTCTTTCCTTACTCATCTGGAGTTTTGGCCTTTAAATATTCTGTGAATTCAATACTTCTCTTTCTCACTTGAAGTTACTTCAGTCTATAACTCTACTTCTCTCTTTCTTGTTTATCTGGATCTGTTGCTCATTCCCTCTCTTGCAGTTTTGTCACCAGTAATTTCATCATTGATCCCATCTCTAGTTTCCTTATCACCAAGTATCTAACATCCTCCAACATAATTATTCATGTAAAACTCTAGATCTCAATTAAAGCACCAGCATGTGGAAATATTTTAATGCACCATGTTAGCAAATAGATTAACATTATCATTTATAGATAGATACTACCGTAATAAAGGCAGAGGATGTCCTTTCAAAAGAATTGCTTAGTAATGACAAAGTATAAAAGAATACCAGTTAATTAGCTTTTCATTGTTTTCTCCTGCTACAAATTGGTCTTGGTTTGGTCTTTTGCATAATCACTAACATCAGTTGAAATTCTGTTGTAGAGGATAATCTGCTGCCCTCCCCCTACCCCAGCAATCATCCACAATTATTATGAATGTTTAAATACCATAGTTGCAGCTCCCAATTAGCTCCATCAGCAGAATCAAGTAGAATTGTGGATAATCCAAAATTAATTTGCCTATGAAATACTTTTAAAATACCCAAATATTATAATATTGTATTGTACTTTCCAGTTTCCAAAGTTTTTCCTTTTTGTAACTTCATTTCCATTTGACTTAGTACCCTCTTGTAAGTAGAGCTACCATTTCTCAAAATTTCTCTGGACCTAAATTTTGGATAAATAAACGAATTTAAAAAGGCTCCTGCACACCATTTAGAATATGAAAAAAAAAAAAGTCCAGGAAGAAAAAACAACTAGGGTTAGTAGGAAATATTTCCTTGTAAGCAACTGCTGAGAAAGGAGGAAATGGGAATAATAACTGTTACAATGTCAGAGGGCTGCAGTGGGGACTCAATGGGGTAAGATATGTATAGAACAGGCGGTGCAGCATTCGAGCAGTCAGCTGCTAACCTGAAAGGTTGACGGTTTGAACACACCCAGAGGCTCCGTGGGCGAGAGGCCTGGTGATCGGTTCCTATAAAGATTACACCTAGAAAACCTTTTGGGGCCATTCTACTCTGTCACATGGGATTTTGGTGAGTGGAAAATTGACTCAGTGTTACCCAGTAAGAGAGTAACTGGCATGTAGAGAGTGCTAAGCAGTGTTCACTGTTAGTATTGTTATAGTGGGCAGGAGAAGAACACATATCTGATCCGCAGGGCTAGCTTTCTGAATGCCCATCAGTACCATATACTTGCCTCTCTGCAAACATCAAGCCTGATACGGCTTACTTCTTGAAGGGTAATAGTAATTACAGCTCTAAAGTATATGAAACGGTAATTCCCCTAAGTGGAATTTCAGCTGCAGACCCAAAGGTGAGGAGGGGAGTAGTTGTCACATAACCACACATGCTACACCATCTGTAAGGAATTTCCAGGCAGAGAATAGTTTAAAAGAATTCTGCATCCCCCAGCCTCTAGGCTACATAAGGGAGGCAAGAGTTATAGGGAAGACAGCTGGAAGAAGAGGTTTGTGTGTGTATGTGTGTATGTGTGTGTGTGTGTGTTTGAGAGATGGGTGTCAGAGACCATACATTCCCCATATCCCCTTCCCCAATACACCAGACTTCATAAGGAGATTTTCAGAGCAACCACTGCTAGCTAGAGAGGGGTTTTTGGCAAGGATGGACAGTTGGGCCTCTTGCACCTGGCTGGAGGCTTGCTGAGCAGCAGAAATCCAATGGCCATGTGTTACCGAGGAAGCAGAGCAGAATGTGGCAGAGGAATGCAGAGATTGGCTTAAGCTGCTCTGACAGCAGGGTATGTGATAGAGCAAGGATATTCTGATGGCAGAGGGAGGATGGCAACTTTCCTTGGGGGCCAAATAGACCCCCTTGTAGAGTACATGGGCTCAAATCGGATGTCCAAAAGGGCTCTCTATCTGAGTTGAGGCAGCCTCAGCAGAAGGAGGCTAGAGGTGATGGTCAGATGCAGATAAACTGGGGGTGGGCCCAGCAGCAGTCAGCCAGGACCATATGACCAAAGTCACTACTGCCATGGTGGTGATATTTAAATATCAGAACCTGACACTATTAATAATACCTGAAAGTGATGGGGAAGGCACAACTGCCATATATGTTGCAAAGGACAGTGGTTAGAAAGTTCTTTTCTGTTCTTACCATAACAGATCTTGTTCTTTTTGTGAATTGGTGACATATTACAGCTAACATGTATTAAGTGCCAGGCACTATTCTAAGGATTTGAAATGAGGGTTAAACAAATGGATCGTTTAACCTGGGCATGCTATGAAGTGGTACTTTTATTAGAGATGATGAATTTGAAAGTCAGAGAAACTAAGAAAAGGGAAAGAAAAGCAAACATAGAAAAAAATACAACAGATGAAGGAGAAAGGAATATCAATTACTATGAAATCTTAAAGAAGGAAAATATGGTTTAAAAAGTATTCACTAAATAAATTAAAATGAAAGTTTACAGTACTAGTTTCCCTAATGGACTACACAAAGAGCTTAGTGACCTCGGAGCAGAAAGACACAGAGGATAATGGGATGCGGGGGAGAACACAGACAAGGGGGACACGTGAAGAAGGAAATGATTCTGAGGTTCATCTCAGAATAAACAGGGAAGAAGATATTTGAGAAATTATAATGCCTGGGGGCTTGCCCTATCAGATATTATAATGAATTAAAATATCAAAATAATTAAATCAGAGCAGTACTGATACAAACACTAACAGATTGAACAGCAGAAAACCAAATTTCCAAACCCACTGCCATTGTATTGATTCCCTACTCATAGCGACCCTGTAGGACAGAGTAGAACTGCTACAAGGCTGTACATCTTTATGGAGCAGACTGATTCATCTTTCTCCTGCAGAGCAGCTGGTGGGTTTGAACCACTGCCCTTTTGGCTAGCAGCTCAATGCTTTAATCACAGAGCCACCAGAACACCTAAGAACAGAACAGGTAGTCCTGAAGTGAATCTTAAACTACATAACATTTTATTAATCTCTTATGAACCGATTATCCAATAAGTGGTATTGGGTAAATTGGTTACATAAATGAAACCAAACCAGCTGCCATCGAGTCAGTTCGAACTCTTATGACCTGATATGTACAGAATAGAACTGCTCCATATGGTTTTCAGAGCTGTGACCTTTTGGAAGCAGATTGCCAGGCCTTTCTTCCAAGGTGCTTCTGGGTAAGTTTGAACCACCAGCCTTTAGGTTAATAGTCAAGTGCTTAACTGTTTTCCTCAGCCAGGGACTCCTTAGCAGCATAAGTATTCCCTGCTGTCTCCTCCCTGTCAACGCACTCCTCCCTCAGTAAGCACCAACACCCTCTCCTTTGAGCAGGAGCTTGCAAGCCATCCTAGATTCCTCCCTTTCTCTGAGACCCTACATGCCAACTCAGTGGCAAATTCTGACAGCTCCCCCTCCAGGAAATATCTTGGATCTGTCCACATTTGTCCATTTGGTGTCTGCCTGCTCTGTACAGAGCCAGCAGCCCCTCTCCCTGAGGGCAGCAAGAGGTGCCCTCCCACCCTCCTGCACACTCCTTCCTGAGGGTAGCAAGCAGGCCAATTGTTTAAAACAGCCCTTTCTTGTCCTCTGGTATTTTTAGCTGTCTGGATTTTACAGGGATGTCTTGCTTTTTCTTCCCTAGAAAACATATCAGAAGTCAAAAGAACAAATAGAGGCTGAATTGAAAATGGACTATGAAAATTATTTGGAACTGGAAAAGACTGTCCTCGTCAATCTTGGACTAATCAAAGTCTCAGAGAAGGTGTCACACATAGACATATAGAAAATCTTTCTGAAAGGGTGTTTGGGAGACTGTATGGGACTTTCTCCCTCTTTTGTTCATTATTTTTTTTCTGGAACTAGTAAACTAAACATAGATTTATTAATAAACATAGGTTTTTATCTCATTGATGTTGAAACTTATGAATTATAACAATAAGATGTGTTTCCATTTTTGTATGGGACCCACCAGCCACTCCTCGGAAGGAAGATTGGGCAATCTACTTCCATAGTGATACTGCCTTGGAAACCCAAGGAGGGGTCGCTATGAGTTGGGTCTGACTTGACGGCAGTGAATTTGGTTTTTAGTTTTGGTATTATTAGGTTAAATATGAAAAAAACTTTATAAGGACATTTTCATTTTCCTACAGTAATATAGACCTTCATGTAGACCCCCTAACTGCCATGCACACTATTCATTTATTCATTTCTAATCCCAGATGGAAGTGAAAGCCAATTTTGCTCCTATCATCAGGTTGCTTTTGGTCACTCTGCCAAAAGTACTCCCCTAAGCCACTGCTCAAACTGTAGGGCCGTGTGCTAAGAAAAATATTGGCAAATCAAACCAGTATTTATTTATGTAATGCACTGCTGTCAAGTCATATCCAACTCATAGCGACCCCTCCTTGGGTTTCCGAGGCAGTATCACTATGGAAGTAGATTGCCCAACCTTCCTTCCGATATTTATGTAAGGATAACACATAAAGATCAAGTTGGATTTATCTGGGAATATAAGGTTATTTTAACTGCAGAAAATAAATTAATGATTGATTACAAAAAAGAAATTATTGTGCCATCTTAACATTTTATAAAGTTAACATCTATCCATGACAATAACAAATCCTTAGCAAGGGAGCTTCCTTAATCTGACGAAGATACCCTGACACCATCCTACAACAAGCTTAGTGGTAAAAAGCTGAAAGCTTTCCTCTGAGATGAGGCACAAGACATGATGACCACCTTCTAGTCAATATTGCACAGGAGGTTTAACCAGTGTAGGTGCAAAAGGAAAAAACATGTGAAACTGTCCCAGTTCCAAAAGAGCTTAATGTCTCTCGATAAGAGGTTTGGTTCAATATCACAGGGAAGCAACAGGAGTGGGAGGGGGGCATGTGGGGAAGTAGCCGGAGATGAGATAGAAAAGTAGTTAGAGCCAGATTGGGAAGGCTCTTGTAAACCAAACTAAGGAAACTGGATTATATTTCATAGATAATGGGAATTAATAGATGTGTTGAGCAGGAAGGTGACATGATCAGCTTTATTTTTAGGAAGATAAGGAATGGATTAGAGTGAGGAGAGTCTCAAGGCAGGAAATCCTATTAGGAGGCAGTAGCAATAGTTCAAGGTAAAAGATTAGGATGACCTGTACTAAAGCTTAATTTCAAAATAGAAATGAAAGGCTGAATGGGTGGGAAAGGGAAGACAAAGAATGATGGGGATGGACACTGGGAAGAGGTAACTGTACGGAGGAAGTGGGAGGGGTGTTGCATTGTGGTAAACTGTGGTCAATGACATGAGACAAAGTATATGTGAACAGCTGTATGAAAAGTGAATTTACTCTGTAAATCTTCACCCAAATCCTAATTAAAAAAAAAAAAAAAAGAATGATGGCAAGGTTTACAAGTTAGGGTGCTGGAGGAAGGAAAATTTTTTAAAGTCAGAGGGGTATTAATTGACACTTGAATCAAAATAGACCATAGAAATTAGTTGGTGCTTTTGTTTTGTTTTGTTTTCAGTACCATCTGTGTGCCCTTGGACAAAACTCTGTATCTCTGTGAAATCCCCTGTTATCAAGTCAGGTTGATAGTATTTACTTTGCAGCCTTTTTATGAGGGATTGGAGTGCCTGTATATTAAGTTGCTGGTATCCAGCACATAGATGAATTCAGCCAGTCTCATAGCTTTAAATACTAATTATAAACATAGCAACAAAAAGACGAACAACCCAATCACAAGACAGGCAAAGAATTTGAACAGTTCATCAAAAGGACATTCAGGTGGCCAACATGCACATGGAAGGATGTTCAACATCCTTAACCATTAGGGATATGCTAATCAAAACTACATGAGATATCATCTCACATACACACACACACACACACACACACCCCACTAGAATAGCAATGATTTTTTTAAAAAATGAAAAACAGCAGGTGTTAGTGAGGTTGTGGAGAAACTGGAACTCTCATCCATTGGTGGTGGAATGTAAAATGGCACAACCACTGTGGAAAACAGTTTGGTGGTTCCTCAAAAGTTGAACATACCTTATGTTCCAGCAATCCCAATCCTAAATATACCCAGAAGAAGTGAAAGCAGAAACCTGTACGCCAATATTCATTGCAGCTCTTTTTACAATACCCAAAGATGGAAACAACCATAATGCCCCTCTACACATGAATGGATAAACAAAATGTGGTATGAACATACAATATACTATTATATAGTCATAAAGAGAAATGAAGTCCTGATGCATGCCTCAGCACGGATGAACCTGGAAAACATTTTGCTGAGTGAAATAAGTCAATCACAATAGGACAAATAATATATGATCTCACATGAAATAAACAAATATATAGAAACCAAAGATAATTAATGATTTGAATGAGAATATCATATGGTCTATTATGCCGGGGATGAGAAATTGAAGAGGAATGGCATCCCATTTATCGTCAAAAAGAATATTTCAACCTCTACCCTAAAGTACAATGCTGTCAGTGATAGGATAAAATACATATACCTACAAGGAAGACTAGTTAATATTATTATTCATATTTACCCACCAACTAAAGCCCATGTGCTGAGCAAGTAATCTGAGAAGCTGGACTACATGAAGAAGAATGCGGCACCAGGACTGAAGGAAGCTCATTAAAAATCTGCAATATGCAGATGACACAACCTTGCTTGTTGAAAGTAAAGATGACTTGGCGCACTTACTGATGAAGATCAAAGACTCAGCCTTCAGTATGGGTTACACCTCAATACAAAGAAAACAAAAATCCTCACAACTGGACCAATAAGCAATGTTGTGATAAATGGAGAAAAGACAAGTTTTACTGGATCCACAATCGACACCCATGGAAGCAGCAGTCAGGAAATCAAATGTTATATTGCTCTGAGCAAATTTGCTGCAGGAGACCTCTTTAAAATATTAAAGAACAAAAATGTTACCTTCAAGACTAAGGTGTGCCTGACCCACGCCATGATCTTTTCAGTGGCCTCATACGCATGTGAGAGCTGGACAGTGAATAAGACTGCAGAAGAATCAATGCATTTGAATTGTGATGTTGACGAAGACTATTGAATGCACCACGCACTGCTAGACAAATGAACAAATCTATCTTGGAGGAAGTGCAGCCGAAATGCTCCTTAGAAATGGCAATGGCCAGACTTGGTCTCTCATACTTTTGTCATGTTGTCAGAAAGGACCAGTCTCTGGAGAAAGATAACATGCTTGGTAAAGTATTGGAAGACCCTCATTGAGATGCATTGACATAATGGCAATGATGATGGGCTCAAGCATGGCGATGATTGTGAGGATGGCACAGGACCGGGCAGTGTTTGGTCCTGTTGCTTATAGGGTCACTATGAGTCAGAACTGACTTGACAGCACCTAACAAAAACAACATCAGGTCCACCACAAGGACAGAACCAATAGGAGATTTATGCATTAAGGAGTTGGCTCACATGATTATGGGGGATGGCTGGGTTTTTGAGGCAGTGTCTCTATGGGAGTAGACTGCCCAGTCTTCCTTCTGAGGAGTGGCTGGTGGGATTGAACTGCCAGCCTTCTGGTTAGCAGTCTAGTGCTGCCATAACAAAATATTAGGTAAGTGCGTAGCTTTAAAGAACAGAAATTTATTTTTTCACAGTTTAAGAAGCTGGAAGTCCAAATTCAGGCATGGCTCTAGGGAGAGGTCATTCTTTGTCAATTTCAGCTTCTAGTAACTGTGGCAATACATGGTACTCTTGGGCTTATAGATGCATCTGACATGTATGCTTGTCTTCTATGGCATCTTCCCCCTATGTATGTCCTGTGTCTCTTCAGGTCTTTTTATAATTCAGAAATGATTAGGTTTAAGATCCACCATACTCTAGTACGGCCTCATTAACATACCACAGAGAATCCCTATTTGCAAAAAGGATCACATCCTCAGGTATAAGAGCTAGAACTTCAATAGGGACAAACAGTCCCCAGGTTACAAATGCCCAACTGATACACAACCTGTAGTTATAAACCAACCTCTATAAAGCCTATTATGTTACAAATTTGAGGAATATACAATGGTTTGTAATAACAAATGGGTGCTACTTTGCAACATGCACCAAAACATTATCATTACTGTATTATTATGAGAAAGATGTTTTAAGCAACTAGAAATGTTTCTTTAATGCTTTTAATGCATAAAAAGCACATTACATACAGTTTACTAAGGCAAACATTTGAGTAACTGACATTAGATACAAACTGTACCTAACTGTTCCAAGTTATGTATAAATTCAACTTAAAGACAGATTTAGGAACAGAACTTGTTCTCAATCCAGGGGCTGCCTTATATATTTTGGTGGGGGCACACAATTTGATCCATAACATCATCTTTACTTAAACTGATGGTAGACATTAACCCTATCTAGCAAATACATTTACAACAACACCCAGATTAGTGTTTTATTAAATATCTGAGTACTTTAGCCTAGCTAAATTGACACTTAGAACGCATTGACCGTCATAGCAGACAAGGTCAGACATGCTGAATCCCAGCAGAGAAGACAGGTGAGGTTCAACCTAAGAACCTAATCAGCTATAATTAAAAATGTAGAAATATTGGGGTGAATGAAAGTGGGACTAACTGGTCCTGCCTCCTTCTAATCCCCATAGTCACAACCTTCTTCCCTATTATCCATTCCTTTCCAACTTCACAGTGAGTAAACAGTCTTCTTTTTCTGCCCTAAATCCTTTGGTCTGAAGTCTAAGAGAAGAAACTAATCTACAGAGCTAATAGCCTTC